ATGTGAGATTCCATGCGTTATATGGCAACCCGGTGGGACTATCGAAAGAAGGTAACAAAGCATTGCCCAATTCTTGTGCTTTTTCCAGAAATACGAGTTCCTTTGACAATTCATACGCACTTAATAATCCGCCAAGATAACGAATTGTAGTCTCAAAAACGTTGATAATTTCATCACTTTTTGTAAAGTCTACAGATCGAACAAAATCCCTTGAACAATTAAATTCTTCTTTTAAATCCATAATCCACATTGTATCTAATGCATCAATTATAGTTGCTCCCCATCCGTTAAAATTATTCCTACCCACATTTGTTAACGGTAATAATTCATCGTACCCCCATGCATATTTTTTATATCCATTCCAGGCATGAAGAAACCCATTTTTTATTGAATCACGGCGGGATTCCCTCAATATTTTTTCTTCATCTGTTTCATTAAAGGAAAAATCATATTGTACTTTTGGAAGTTGAATGACATTATTTAAATACACTCGTGAACCCAAATTGTACAAAAGTCTTGAAGGTGATTCTCTAAACCATTGTGAATGTTTAAATACAGTCGGATAATTATAATCAACTTCTATAATGTAATATGTCAACGATCCAAAAACCAACAAATTTAAAAATAAAAGTTGAAGTCGAACATCTATTTTCCGAAATATTTTTTTAAAAGAACATATTCGCATCATTTTTAACGTTAAATTTATTAAATGAAATCAAGAAAGTAACATGTAAATTCTACAATCAGATTTTTTAAGACAGATTTTCTAATTGTTTATGTACACTAATTTCAAGGACGATTTTACCGTTACTAACCGCAAATCATGTTTCACTTTGTACTATGCTACAATATTTATTTGGAAAATAAATTTCGTATTAATACGTATCTACTTGCTTCTTGAGAAGCAGGGATGCCAAAGCAGTAACTATGATTTGTCCATTTTCTGCAAAATACCCGCTTGAATGATAGTTTCCTCCAAATACGTCGTTGTTGGCTTATCACATGAGTTGCAATATGTCCGATACGGAAAGTTTATTTTATGGGACGAAAGGCATGTGAATAGTTGATCTAAATATGTAACGCTAAGCCGAAATCTAAAAATTGGCTTAGCCGACTACGCCTGTAGTATGCAAATATATATTTATATATACCAAATTTTTTCGCTATCGCTATTAAAGCAAAATGCTTGGGCATGCATTTTTCAGGCTAAAGGTTAAAGAATTAGAAAGTATATATATCATATGCCAAATTAAAATTTGCATTCGATCAAAATTTAAATACTGAATTTATTAAGTTTTATTAATGTTTAGTATGAAAGCAATTTGACACAGAAATGTTAAAATTTTGTTTTTTTTTTTAAAAAAAACAATATTTTAGCAAAAAAAAAACATTTAATACAGCAACTCTTTCTAATGATTATTTTAA